TTCAAACTTGCATGACGTGTTTCATGTATCGCAACTTCGGAAGTATGTACCAGATCCGTCTCATGTGATTCAGAGAGATAAAGTTCAAGTTAGAGAGAATCTAACTGTGGAGATGACGCCGTTGAGAATCGAGGATCGCAAGATGAAGCGAATTAGAGGAAAAGAGATACCTTTAGTGAGAGTGGCTTGGGGATGTGCTGCAGGAGGCAGTGTAACCTAAAGTAGGATGCAGGAAGTGTATCCAGAATTGTTTCCATCAGGTATTTTCGAGGACGAAAATAATTAAAGTGGGGGAGAGTTGTAACGCCCATTTTAATTATTCGAGTTTTTCGATGTATTTATTTCTGGCATGCTTGCGTGGAATTTGTTTGAGAAATTAAGATCCATAATATTAGAAAAATATGATTAATAATAATGATAATATGATGATTAATAGTGTTGTTACTAGTATTATTAATATTATTGTTATTATTAATGTATTTAAAAATATTATTGGAATTAATTTTGGATTAAAAGAAAATAAGAATATTAGTTTTGGAATTAAAAAGAGGAATTATTTGGGATGAAGGACATGTTTGGCATTTGGAAAAAGGGGAAGGAGAAAGAAACACGCTTGAGAAGGAGGAACACGAGAGCACGGTGAAGAAGAGAAACAAGTTCTGAAGCAAGAGCAAGAGGAAGCTTGGCTGTGGGAATTTCGTATGGATTCTTAAAGTTCTCCATCATCAGAATTGCAATGGAGGTAGGGGAACAGTTAAATTTCGGTAAATGCATGAATAATAGGTAGAAGGGGATTTCCCTTAACCCCACTAGGTTGTGATGAATGTTGTTGATTTGTGTTGTGATTCTGAATGTTGATAATGTGTAGAAATCATTGCATGTGCTGTTTTGGTTGATTTGGGGGTTTCCGGGTAGTTCGAAGTTATACCGGAACTGAGTGATTGTGTAGAGCTAACAATTAATCGGGTTAAATCGAGGATAGATGTTATAGTTAGGTTGTGGAACAATTGTCTGGTATGATGAGGTTTGGTTTGGAGTAGAATCGGCTGAGTTCGGAGCGTGTTGCCGACTCTGAGTTGTGGCTTTATTTTTTTGAAATCGCAGGTATTCGTTGGGCGAATGGGTGGGTGGGGGGGGGGGGGGGGCGAGCCTTCGCCAGGCTTCGCCGGGCGAACTGGGCAGCGAATGCTGCCAGTAGCCTCTATTTGGATTCGCCAGGCGAATGGTCAGCGGGGCTTCGCCAGGCGAATGTGCCAGTGAGCCCGACAGCAGTTTGTGTTTTGCTACTGTTTATGTTGTTTCCTTTGTGGTTTTGGACCCTTGTTGGTCATGTTTGATGATGAGCTTATTAGTGAGTTGTGGTGAGTGTATGTATGGTGTCAGAACATGATTCCGTGATATCCGTGTGATTATGATATTTGTATTGGTGTATGTTATGATGTATGACTGTGGTGATGGGTGAGACATATTTGATATATGATAAATTATGATCAGTAGGATCGTGTGCACCTTGTGTGCTTGATGTGTATGTGATATATGATGAAATGGATTAGTAGGATCGTGTGCACCGTGAGTGCTTGTGTTGTTGTGCATGGTGTCTACATAGCATGTGGACAGGATGGAATCATGGCTCAGATGAGGCGTATGTGATTCACCCGTGCTCCAAATGGGGAGCGTGGACGGGAGTTGAATCGTTGCTCAGATGAAGTGTATGCGATTCACCCGTGCTCCAAATGGGGAGCGTTGGTAGGGATAGATCGTTGCTCAGATGAAGTGTTTGCGATCTATCCTGAGATTTGATTATATGGGCTCAGGAAAAGCGTGGTAGGGATAAATCGTTGCTCAGATGGAGTGTATGCGATCTATCCTAAGTTGAGTCGGTACCGCATATCATTGTGTCAAGTTGCATGTGTTGCATTGTGATGTGTGTTGTGTTGGCATGAGACAGTAGGTCCGGATTTGATGTATATGAAATGATGTTTATATGTTTCTGCCTTTTATTTCATGTACATTATTACCGTTATATTTGATCGTGATTTTTCACCCCTTGTTGTTATTGTGGTCTGTGCTTCTTCGGAAGTACAGACAATCCAGGTGCTTAGCTAGCTTGGATTGTGGCGAGTCGTAGGGATGCTCTGATGCGTAACACCGAGGCTTTTGGGAGTATTTGTGTCTATTTGATGATTTTGTGTGCCCCTGTGGCGTATCTTGTTTTGTTGGGATTCGATGATGATATTTTGTGTAATTTGGGCAGATGGCCGACTTGATGTATAAGATGATGACGTGTGTGTGTGGATATATATATATATATATATATATATATATATATATATATATATATATATATATATATATATATATATATATATATATATATATATATATATATATATATATATATATATATATATATATATGTTTATGACAGATTCATTTTCCGCTGCAATTTTGTTGAAAATCATTTTTAAGAAATGTCTTGTGGAGTTTTGGTGAAAATGTGACATCCCGTTTTTGGTGTAGAAACTCTGATGATTGTTTATTTAATTGTTTTATTTTATTTTGGAGAACGGGGTGTTACACTCACAATGGTCTAGCGAGGGAAGATAAGAAAGGTTCAGTGGTGATGAGTGTATATCAGAGGAAACTCAGGAGTGAAAAGGGCGTGTACGAAGAAAGATTAGAGGGGTTTTAGTTTGTGGTTGTTGGGAAGAGGTTAATGTGGATTTAACGCATTAGTGGTGGTGGTGGTTGGGCTCTCATTTGTGTTCCACGGCGGAGCAAGGTTTGAGGAGTGGAAATGAGGGAAGACAGTTGGAAGTTTCAAAGGGTGTAGAACGTGGTTGTTTGAGGCTCATGAAGTTTGAAGACAGTTGAGATTTGAAGTGTACATGAAGGGTATTTGGTGGCGATAAAAGCTTGAAGGAGGGTTCTGCTAAGGTTGTAGGAGGCGGGTGTGAGTGGAAGACATGGTGTTTGTCGTCGGCGGGTTATGAAGACGGGGATGGAAAGGTTTTGATGAGTTGGTGAGGAGATGGTTAGGGTTTCACGACATATCAAATGCGTGCTTAATGGTTGCTTTGAGGTGGTGGTTGTTTATTATGTTATGGTTGTGTTTGTTATTTAGAGATGGAGAAGAGAGAATGAGCTGATAGTTCCAAATTGAAAAAAAGGATGTTGTTAATGGAAATCAGAAGAAGAGCAAAATCTTACTCCATTTTCTATTAACCGTTACCACCAAATGGAGAAAGAGGTATCTTCGTTTGTTGATGCATCAAAGAGAAAAGATAATTAGATCTTAGTGTGAGCTATATTTTTTCAGTGGGCTACGTGTCTCAATATTATTATAGGGGTCAATTTTCTGTTGTAGCAAAATGAGATAACAATAGGGACGCGTGACAACTTTCTAACGCGGGAGGAAGATATTTTGTTAATCTTTTTGATTTTTTAATTTAATATTCAATTAATAGATTTTTTTTATTGGATGATAAATTGCACATGGATAACCCTTGATTAGTCTTGATTCGAAAGCTAAGATTAAATTAAAAAAACACAAATGCTAACCAATTTTAAAAATGTCAATGTTGTCCCTTCTAAAAATTTTAATAGATTAAAAACAAATTAAATCAACTAAAAATCACACCTTTTAAAATAAACACAATAAAATTTTTAAAATAAACACTATAAAAATAAAATGACATGAAAAAAAATTCTATTTAATTTTCTAAATAATATTTATTACCAACAATGTAATTAACACCTCATTTAACATTGCAGGTTATAACTTCTTTCAACATGTAGCAACAAACTTATGCAGTTTTTGATTTCATTCATTACCTTTTCCTTTTTTTCTATTCTAACATATTATATTTTTCTTGCATAACTTTTACATTAAGATTTTATCTATTGTAGTTCTCATATTTAGATAATATAATTATTGTCATTTATTTAATTGTATTTTATCAGTATTTTTTTTTTAATGTTTTAAAATGCGAATGATTTTTTGTGCGCACGCACATGTTATCCACTAATAAACGATTATCTAGTCGCTTAAATAAGGTGTGGGAACATCTTTAATATAATGTGTCCATTTGTTTTTAGACTTGTTTTGTTTTGGGTTGATTAGAAAAATATAAAAATATTGCAAAAAGTTAAATAAATAAAATTTAAAAGTCTACTACTACAGTTAAAAAAAAAAAACATGTGCTATTAAATATTTTTCTAATATAAATTTATCGAATGACTTTATTAGGTCAAATCACTCTGCTAGAGATTAGACGGAACCTTGAAATGTTCCCTCTCGCTATGCCGCGGCGGAACGAAATAAAAGAAAGGGCAATTCCGTCAAAACAAAAGAAACAATTGTACTATATAAATCCTGTAACCCTGTTTTGCATCTCTCTACATCGCATTTTATTCTCATTCTATTCCTCGTACCTAGGGTTTTAGCGCAGCTTTCTCACTCAAAGGTAAATCTCTCTTATTTCTTCAATAATCGATTCATTTCATCGACATCATTGAATCGTAGGTTTTCTTATGCACAATTTAGTGTACTCATAGGATCATTAGAAATTGTTTTGTTTTTCTTATGATTCCTGCTATTAGATTTCGATAATCATGATGTTATTTATGTGCATGTTTATCGATTAATTGTTATTCTAAATCCTGATAGTGTGATAATCGTTTATGTTTTTTGACTCGCTAGTTTTCTTTCTTATGGTAGAATTTTTATTTATTTTTGGGTATAGATATATTCAGTCGAGATATGATATGATATGATAGATCTGATATTTTTGAATTGTCCATGTGTTTGTTATTGGAGTATCTTGTGCCTTATCGGTTCAAACCTGTGATTTACATTGTGTTATTGAAAATTGAAATGAATTGTATGTTATTTTGATTTGTCATATTGCTGTTTGTTGATAGTATTTATTTATTTTTGTTGTTGAATACTGATCTGTGACGAAATCACAGGTCTTTTGTGATTTCAAGGTTAAGGAGTAATGGGAAAAGAGAAAGTTCACATTAACATTGTTGTCATTGGGCATGTCGACTCTGGCAAGTCGACCACCACTGGTCACTTGATCTACAAGCTTGGAGGTATTGACAAGCGTGTGATTGAGAGGTTTGAGAAAGAAGCTGCTGAGATGAACAAGCGTTCATTCAAGTATGCCTGGGTGCTTGACAAGCTCAAGGCTGAGCGTGAAAGAGGTATTACAATTGACATTGCTTTGTGGAAGTTTGAGACAACCAAGTACTACTGCACTGTCATTGATGCCCCCGGACACAGGGATTTTATTAAGAACATGATTACCGGTACATCTCAGGCTGATTGTGCTGTTCTCATCATTGATTCCACTACTGGTGGTTTTGAAGCTGGAATTTCCAAGGATGGACAGACCCGTGAGCATGCTCTCCTTGCTTTCACTCTTGGTGTGAAGCAAATGATCTGTTGTTGTAACAAGGTAATTGAGATTTCCAGCCTCTTTTGTAATTGATATTTTCATGATTCGTATATACAAATACTCATTATTTTCTATATTGAACAGATGGATGCAACTACACCCAAGTACTCGAAGGCTAGGTATGATGAAATCGTGAAGGAAGTTTCTTCCTATTTGAAGAAGGTTGGGTACAATCCTGACAAAGTTCCATTTGTTCCCATCTCTGGTTTTGAGGGAGATAACATGATTGAGCGCTCTACAAATCTTGACTGGTACAAAGGTCCAACCCTACTTGAGGCCCTTGACAATATCAATGAGCCTAAAAGGCCATCAGACAAACCTCTCCGATTACCCCTTCAGGATGTCTACAAGATCGGAGGAATTGGAACTGTGCCTGTGGGACGTGTTGAGACTGGTGTCATCAAACCTGGAATGGTGGTCACTTTTGCTCCAACCGGACTGCAAACTGAAGTCAAGTCCGTGGAGATGCACCACGAAGCTCTCACCGAGGCCCTTCCCGGTGACAATGTTGGGTTCAATGTTAAGAATGTCGCTGTTAAGGATCTCAAGCGTGGTTTTGTTGCCTCAAACTCTAAGGATGACCCAGCCAAGGAGGCTGCTAACTTTACATCTCAAGTGATCATCATGAATCACCCTGGTCAGATTGGAAATGGCTATGCCCCTGTTCTTGACTGCCATACCTCCCACATTGCTGTCAAGTTTGCTGAGCTTCTTACCAAGATTGACAGGCGTTCTGGTAAAGAGATTGAAAAGGAGCCCAAATTCCTGAAGAATGGTGATGCTGGTATTATTAAGATGGTTCCCACCAAGCCCATGGTGGTTGAGACTTTCTCTGAATATCCTCCACTTGGTCGTTTTGCTGTGAGAGACATGCGTCAAACTGTGGCTGTTGGAGTCATCAAGGCTGTGGAGAAGAAGGAGCCCACTGGAGGACCCAAGATCACCAAGTCAGCCTTGAAGAAGAAGTGAACCGTGCAGGATGATGATCTATCCATGGGAGTTTATTTTGATGATTACAATAATAAATGGTTTGTGGATCCTAGTATTTCTGTTTTCAGTCGAGTTTTGTTTTTTGGATTAAGTGTGAAGTCTGCGCCGTCATCTCGCAGCTTTTGTTCCCAGAACTGGGTTCTAGATAGACGGTGGCAGGGCTTTATTTCGTTTTGAAGTTATGTTTAAACAATTGTTTGTCTTGCGTGAAGTGAACACATTTTATAAGCAGCTATAATCTTGCTTATTTGGTTATCGAATATATAAACTATATGATATTTCTGTTTTCTATTCTATGGTGCTTCTAAATTGTTGGGCTGTTTATACGAAGTTAACTTTTTTGCCTGAGGAAATAGTGATTATGATAGATGAAGTATAATAGTCTTGTCATCCATTCATCTAGATATCTTTTAGGTTTAATACTCTTTCATGTATGGTCTGATGAAATAGTGGTCCATTGATCAAGTATAAAGAGAGAATCACTTAGCTTCTTGACCTTAAGGATTTACTCAATGATAAAATAACACTCTTGCTAAATTTAAGTTAAGTTATATATTGTTTCTTAAAATTGTAGGATCATAAATAACTTTTACCTTTTATGTTTCTAATTTTTTTCTAGCACTAATGTTAAAAGAGAATCATTTCTTAAATTCATTTTATAAATGACCAAAATATGAGAAGTATACACCATTATGTTTGGTCCACCTTAAAATTTCATGTTTCTTAGAATTAAGTTCTCACGCTCAAAAATGGACAATACATCAAAGCGGTGGTAGTGGTGGAAAATACGTCAGGTGGACAATACGTCAAAACGGTAGTGGTCGATTGGAACATTCTTATTAGGAAGAGGTGATAAATTGATGCTTGAAGTTTAAACTCTTTAGCCTTTTAATCTTGACTGAGAACCATCAACTATGCTTGAAGTTTGAACTTTTTTAGCCTTTTAATCTTGACTAGGAGATAAGTGTTCTGGAACATTTTAAAGTTTCACATTGTTTGATTTTTTTTAATAAGCAATGAAACCTTTCAATAGAAAAAATTGAGTATAAGGGCTACTCAAAACTCTTAAAAGAAATTTAGATTCATCAGTCAATTTAAAACAATATAGGGGGAGGTATACAAATTATAAAAGCTATAGGAAGATTTAAAATTATAAACACTTAACCATTCTCAAGTTTTAAATTTGATACATGACAAACATTCCTCAAAATTCAGAATACTACCTTTAAATATAACGATGTTATGCATCAATCAAATGTTCTAAATAGCCGTCAACCAAATAATACTTAAGATTTTGCGAACTTCCTCATCTTTCACTTTCTGAAACTTAGATGAAAACAAAAATAATTTCTCCTTTGTCAATCCTAAGTCATGGCCTATCCCAATGACTATTGTTGCCCAAATTCTATTACTCACAATTAAAAAGCATGTTGTTTAGATTCGTCGACTTTAAAGTAAAGCGTATAACATTTATCTCTATTTGAAAATTGAGGTCAATGATAGTTTAAATACATCACTCATACTCCTCAATTCGTACAAGACATATTTTTTTAATGGACAAAATCGTGACGAGTTTTTATACTCAAATCAGATAATATCTTGTAGTAACAATTATCAATAAATTTAAGTTTCAAATAAATTTGAATTTCATTTATCGTTATAGTCAAAGTTACTCATAACCAAAAGATTTATAACAAAAACAGTAACAAATTTGAGTTTCAATTAGTTTTGAATTTCATTTGTAGTTATAGTCTAAGCTAATTATAATTAAAAGATTTGTAACCAAAAAAAATAATAAAAATTAAACAGGAATAATGGGAAATGTATCTTATAATTTAGTTTTCAATTTTCTTTCTTTTCTAATTGTCAAACAACCTTTTAAAATATGATTTTTTTCTTAAAGTACCAACCTCAAATATTCATTTGCACATATATATAATTATTGGTCAAGTTTGATGGCTGCAACCGTTCTTATAAGAATATCTCCTCCATCAACACACAAATGACAATTATCTCCATTCCTTGAAATGCAAACCTCTATCTGCCACCTTCAAAGACACAACCTTAAGGTAAAACATGAGTCTTCCACAACTCTCGATTACCATCTACTAGGATTTGGTGAAGAAATTGGTTTATCAGTTTGTAACAAGTAGACACAAAAAGATGTTTACCACCCACCTCTTCAAAATTAACCAAAGCCCCTCTGAATCTTTGAGGGAGTATCTCGCCCTTTTTAATGATGTGAATATCAAGGTCATCCACCCCAACCAGGAGATATTCGTGGAAGCTTTCTAAAATAGACTGAGGGCATGGCATTTTAATGAATCTTTCGCCCAGAGGTAGTGACACATGCAGAGTTGTATATAAAAGACGAGGAGAGTAACCTCGAAAAGAAGGCCATATATGTTAAGAAGCGGGCTGCTAGAAACCCTAACAGTTTGTAGCATTTGTGGAAAAGCCATTATACCTCGCCCATTAGAGAGGGTGGCATTTAAACAAAGTGGGAAACCTAAAAAGAGTTTCACGTCCTTGAACAATCACTATGAGCAAATATAGTGTGAAGTCCTCCATACACATGAGATCCCATTGTCGCCAACTCCCAAGTCAGACGTCATAGGGTATGGGTTAAAAAAATGGGGCAAGTTTCATAAGGTCAAGGATCACCACACAAAAGGCTGCTACCAACTCAATAAGAAAATATGTTGCCCCATCCAAGAAGGACATTTGAAGAAATATGTTAGGGTAGATGTCACCCAAACACCAAATGGATCCAACTCTCAAAGGAGAAATGTTTCTAGGAGTCCCATGTCCAAAAAGGGCAAGGAATCAACCAAGGGGGGCAAGACAAACATGTGTGCCATGCCGCTAACACCATAGTATAAGGATTTGGCATAGGCGGGGGGATTAGTTTCGCCCGTAAAAGATACACACACCAAATGTTAATCATTGAAGGTTCGCTTACTAGATCTAACTGAGGCGAGAAGGGAGCACTAAATCCTAAGATTACATTCTCCGAGAAAGACGTAGTTGACATTCATCCACATGATAATGAACTTATGGTCATAACTATGATGCTATGATTGAGAGACTAAAAGAGTGTTGATTGATCAAAGAAGCTCCGCATATAGCCTTTCATAGAATGCTTTTTGTAAGTGCTCTTGATTGGCTGCATTTTGTGGCAAAACACTAGAGCATGTATGTATGTCATGTCTGATATTAGTGCATACATAATATGGACTGTGCAAGGTAAGTTAACTTAGCTAAAAGCAAGTTACGTTGGATGTCATACCCAATGTTATGACATGGGTCGTATGACATCAAGCGCATGTTTGTTTTTCTGGTAGCTATAAACCAGGAAACAGAATAGGATCTCAAGTTGGCTATCAGGAGACTTTCCAGAAGCCCTAGGCGAACTAAAAGATCCCTGAATTAAGTGGCAAGCGTGCAGATCATTGAAAATAGGTTTGTTATGAATAAAACCTAATTTATGCACCAAGGCCCAAAAGGATTAACAACTGCTATAAATATCAGAAGAAGCAATCCTGAACAGTAGCCCTTGACAGAAGAATAGAGAGTGCAGATTGTAGAGTCCTTGTAAGTGAAGAAGGCTAGTCTTCACGTGTGAATTCTGTTTAAGAATACTTGTACTCCAAGCAATTGTCTGGTGGATGATTGCATTTGATAGGTAGATTCTAGACTGTGTCTCACTCAAAGGTGTGAAGCAAGAATGTGTGAGTTTCTTGATCAAAGCTGTAAAGCAAGATCAAGGTGTGTATGAAGTGTCTCTTCATATTTATTCTGTAATTGTGAATTGTATATCACTATGGTGATTGAGGGGGGGTGAGTGGGTATACTCAGGTCTAAAGGGTCTCTAGGCTGAATTGTCATTGGGTAGGTTTTAAGTGAGGAGTGCAAACTGTGTTGTTTGACTCTGAATTAATTTTGCTAATAGTGAAGTTCCTCCCTGGCTTGGTAGCCCCCAGATATAGGTGTTGTTGACACTGAACTGAGTAAACAATTGTTGTGTTTTTACTGCTTTTATTATTACTAATTATTAGCTGTTAAGTAGCAGATGTCACAGTGGATGTTATAACTTTGGGAATAACATCCATCGTGTGCTTGCCAAAATTTTCAATTGGCATCAGAGCAGACACCCTGCATGTCTAAATCTGGGTGAGATCTAGGGAAATTAAATTCTGGTACAATGGATAAAGATATAGGATTCACTAATAGACCTCCAATTCTGGATGGATCTAATTATGATTATTGGAAGCCTAAGATGATTGCATTCCTAAAATCCTTAGACAGCAAGGCTTGGAGAGCTGCAAACTCTGTCTGGAAACATCCTGAGAAGACTGGCAAGGAGGGAGTATCTGTGCTAATTCCTGAAGAGGAATGGAATAAATAGCAAAAGGCTTTAACTCTTGGGAACTTTAAAGCATTAAATGATATGTTCAATGGTATAGACAAAAACATCTTCAGACTAGTACACCATTGTGAACTAGCAAAGGATGTTTGGGACACTCTCAGAACTACTTATGAGGGAACCTCCAAGGTCAAAATGTCAAGACTTCAAATGCTGACCACCAAATTTGAAGGTCTGGGAATGAAGGAAGATGAGACCATTCATGAGTTGTACATGAATGTTCTTGAACTTGCAAACACCTCAGGAGCCTTAGGAGAAAAGTTGGCTGAAGAGAAGCTTGTAAGGAAGATTCTCAGGTCCTTTACCTAAAAGGTTTGCTATGAAAGTAACAACCATTGAAGAAGCACAAGACATGTGCAACATGAAAGTGGATGAACTTATAGGTTCTCTCCAAACATTTGAGATGGGGATATGTGATCAGTCTGTGGAGAAAAAGAGCAAAAGTATAGCTCTTGTCTCAAACACTGTTGGTTTAGATGAAGAAGATGGTGAAAAAGAAGAAAAATTGTTAGAAGCAATAACACTGCTTGGAAGACAATTTAGTAAATTGATC